CTACTCAGCAGTTGTTTGGATTCAGCAGTCATCACCTGTGTCCTGTCCTCTCTAATTATTTAGATCCTATAATACATCAATGTAAATTATACCACAATAAGGCAGTTATTCAAAACAGTATCTCTGTTCCTGGCTGAAAAGACCAGTTTCACAGTTTCATTCAGAAGCTAAACATAATTCAAAAAAACAAACTGACTCACACGGTTTCACTTGAAAATCCTGTTTTGCTGTTAGGATAAAAATTAACACATAACATTTCTTTGGTTAACTACCCAGTAACTCTTTTATGGTGTAAATGAATATAACTAGTGGCTGTAACTAAAACCTGACATAGTGCTTGAACCAAAGAGAATAAGAGTCTGTAACAGACTTCTAGGCCAAAATCAGTCAGGCCTGTTTTTGTACAGCCCCTCAAGCTAAGAATGGTTTTTACATTGTTAATGGGTTGTACAAAAACAAAGCAGAAAAAAAAAAAGGAAGAAGAATATGTGACAGAACCCTGTTACCCACAAAGCCTAAAAGCCTAACACATTTACTATCTGGCCCTTTGCAGAAAGTTTGCTGACTCCTGCAAGAGAAGAAAGTACTACACATTGTGTAAGAGAGAAGGGAAAGATGATGGGCAGAGAGTAACTTGCCATGGTTTTGTTTTGTTTTGTTTTGAAGTACTAACATTTAGAAACGGGAAAGTCTCAGAAAGCTTTTAGGCTAAAGAATATAAAATGGAATAAGAACTGCTCTGGACATCTTCCTAAGACCCAGAGAAAAATCAAGAGCATTTTTTTTACAGCACCTGTGGAATGATTCTTCACAGAACTTATTAATATCACTAATTAGGGCTGGGTACAAATATTAAATATCTCTGTGGCATTTTGCAGTTTACCTGGTACTTACAAGCACATTACTTCAATTTGAGGCTTACAACATTCCTAAGAGGCAGCTGTAGGTCAGAAATGATTATTAGTTTCTATAGGAGAAAAGTGAAGCTTAGAGCTATAGAGTAACCAATCCAAGGTCAACGTTATAAGTACCAGGATCAGATCTTGAACCCAGATCTTGAGACTCAACATCATATACTTTCCGTATATTCATATTTCCGTGATAATTTGCATCCTGGTTTTACCTTCAATTCATGTACATTGAGTTTATCAAGAAATGAAAAGGGGCCAGCTCCGTGGCCGAGTGGTTAAGTTCTCCTGCTCCGATGCAGCAGCCCAAGGTTCGGATCCTGGGCGCCGACATGGCACCGCTCGTCAGGCCACGTTGAGGCGGCGTCCCACAACCCACAACTAGAAGGACCTGTAACTAGGATATACAACTGTGGGCGGGGGCGGGGGGTTTGGGCAGATAAAGCAGGAAAAAAAGAAAAAAAAGATTGGCAGCAGTTGTTAGCCCAGGTGCCAATCTTTAAAAAAAAAAAAAGAAATGAAAAGAAAAATGCATTAAATTACAGTAATTACTGTGGATTCACATATAAGATCAAAAGAGAGTTCTCAAACCAGATTGTTTTCATGACATTTATCATCACTGTAATCATCTTAGAAAACTTAATTTTTCCTTAAACAAATTCAAAGGAATGAAAGCTTACAACTCTAGATTCTAAATATAAACTCAAAAGTTTAAACTATCTTCTTAAAATATGTTCTTAAGAAAACTCTATGGTGCTGGCATAAGGACAGACACATAGATCAATGGAATCGAATTGAAGTTCCAGAAATAAACCCATACATTTATGGTCAATTGATTTTCAACAAGAATAAGAAGACAGGGGCCGGCCCCGTGGCTGAGTGGTTAAGTTTGCGCCCTCTGCTTCCACGGCCCAGGGTTTTGCCAGTTGGAATCCTGGGCATGGACCTGGCACCGCTCATCAAGCCATGCTAAGGTGGCATCCCACATGCCACAACTAGAAGGACCCACAATTAAGAATATACAACTACATACCAGGGGGCTTTGGGGAGAAAAAGGAAAAAAATGTTTAAAAAATCTTTAAAAAAAAAAGAATAACAGGACAATTCAATGGGGAAAGAATACACTGTTCAACAAATAGTGCTGCCAAAAGTGGATATCCACATGTAGAAGAATAAAGTTGAAACTTCCTGCCTCAAGCCTACACAAAAATTAACTCAGAATGGATCAAAGACTTAACTGTAGGACTAAAAGTATAAAACTCTTAGAAGAAAACATAGGTGTAAATTTTCATGACTGTAGACTAGGAGATGGTTTCTTAGACATGACACCTAAATCACAAGCAACCAAAGAAAAAAATATATAAACTAGACTTCATATAAGTAAAAAACTTTGGTGTTTCAAGGAACACTATCAAGAAAGTGAAGCGGGCCGGCCCGGTGGCGCAGCGGTTAAGTTTGCACATTCCGCTTCTTGGCGGCCTGGGGTTCCCCAGTTCGGATCCCGGGTGTGGACACGACACTGCTTGGCACGCCATGCTGTGGCAGGCGTCCCACGTATAAAGTAGAGGAAGATGGGCACGATGTTAGCTCAGGGCCAGGCTTCCTCAGCAAAAAGAGACGAGGACTGGCAGTAGTTAGCTCAGGGCTAATCTTCCTCAAAAAAAAAAAAAAGACAGTGAAAAGACAGCTTACAGAATGGAAGAAAATTTTTGCAAATCACATTTCCTCTAAGGGGCTAGTATCCAGAATATTAAAAAACAACAACTCTTACAAAACAACAATAAAAAGACAACCCAATTTAAAAATGGGCAAAGGATTTGTATAGACATTCTCCAAATAGTCAATTATAAACACATGAGAAGATGTTCAACACTCTTAGTCACCAGGGAAATGCAAATCAAAACCACAATTAAAAAGCACTTCACACTCACTATGATACCTATAATGAAAAAGACAGACAATTACAAGTATATCCCAGGATGTGGAGAAATTGGAACGCTCACACATCACTAATAAAAATATAAAATGATGTAGGCACTTTGGGAAACAGTTTGACAAAAGTTAAACATAGAGTTACCATATGACCCAGCAATTCCACTCCTTGATATACACCTGAGAAAACGGAAAACATATGTTCACACAAAAATTGTACACAAATGTCACAGCAAAACTATTCAGAATAATAAAAAAATAGAAACAACACAAATATCCATCAAGTGATGAATGGAAGTAAAATGTGGTATATCCATACAATGGAATATTATTTGGCCTCAAAAAGGAATGAAGTACTGACATATACTACAACATGGGTGAACCTTGAAAACATTATGCTAAGTGAAAGAGCCAGACACAAAGGCCCCATATGGTATGATTCCATTTATGCGAAATTTCCAGAGTAGACAAATCCATAGGGACAAAAAGTAGATTAGTGGTTTCCAGGGGCTGGGGGGAGGAAGAATGGGGAGTGATTGTTAATGGGTAGGGGGTTTCTTTTTGGGATGATGGGAATGTTCTGGAATTAGATACTGCTGACATTGTACAACCTCATGAATATACTAAAAAACACTGAATTATACACTTCAAAAGAGTGAATTTCATAGTATGTGAATTATATCTTAATAATTTGTGTGTGTGTGTGTCTGAGGAAGACTGGCCCTGAGCTAACACCTGTTGCCAATCTTCCTCTTTTTGCTTGAGGAAGATCGTCCCTGAGGTAATGTCTGTGCCAACCTTCCTCTATTTTATGTGGGATACCGCCACAGCATGGCTTGACCAGCAGTGCCAGGTCCGCGCCTGGGATCCAAACCTGTGAACCTCAGGTCACCGAAGCAGAGCATGCAAACTTAACCACTACGCCACCAGGCCAGCCCCTTAATAAATTTTTTAATGAAGTTCTTTAAATTATCCTACCAATACCAATGTAATGTAAAGCCCCAATAAGGTCATTGTAGGAGCCAACAAATATAAAATAGATTAGGAAGGTATTTCAAGAGAAAGTTAATACAGGTGAAGTAGTAAAGCATAACTCCATGAGTAGATTGGGAAAATAGAAATAAAAACTGAAGCTGAAAAAAATCCGTAATTAATGAAAAAGTCATCTAGATCCAAACCAAGTTTAGGCGAGAGCAGAGGAAAAATAAACAAATTCCTTAATTAATAATTTTTCCCTTATTTAATTATAACTCTGAATCACAAAATCTCAGAGGCATTTCTAGGTCAAAAGAAAGTTATAAGAATAACATTATTAAGATCCCATTTTATTTGCAGCTCAAAGAGATGAAACAATCTGCCCAGCTTTACACGGCAGCAATGATGAAGCCAAGAAATCTCACCAAAGGCTTTCTCCTAATGCTTTACCTACCAGCTACTTTCATGTTGAAAATGTCAACTTTAAAGTGACATAATAAAGCCGTACTTGCATGTCTCTGTCTAAACTCATTAAGAATTACTGTTAAGTATAAAGCCCGTGTTTATTTGAGCTTGCATTCTTACAGGAAACTGACTAAAACCTTTCTCATTGGATGAGAATATTCCATTTTCTAGTTACCTAGGAATTAAAATTTAAAATATTTCCTCACCTGAAGTTAAAGAGTAATAATTCCTACCTAAACATCCCAGCCACAATGAATGAACGAATGAATAAGCTGTTTACTACAGAACTGTGAAGGACCAAGATCCTTCAACACAGCCATTCTCCCACATTAAACACAAGACGCAGAAAAATGACATCATCTCATTGGAGATTTATTGGAAGGACATTTTGCAAGAGAGTTTTTTGCAAATACTAGGACCTGTGGCTTTATAAACAAGGATCAGCATCCTCATTAGCTGGGCCTTCCTGGGGCCAGTAATCATAAGGGATATTTGCATAATGCTTTCATATTTTCATTTCACTTAATCAGCACGATAACCTTATGAAAGTACAGACCAGGAATTACTACCCATTTTACATCGTGAGAAGCAGAGGTTCAGAATAGGGAAGTGACTTGCCCAAAGTCACTCGACTGGTGAGTGGCAGAGCTGGGACTTCTAACACCAGATCCCATCTTCTTTCCACTGCATTCCCTACTTCTCCAGGTAAGCTATGTCAGAGGCAGGCTTAGGCAATTCTGCAAGAAGACAGAATGAGAGGAAGGAAAGGAAAGTAGTGAGGAAATAGAAGAGGATGATGACGGGGGAAGGAGGTGTTTTATTAGGAAGTGGATCTAACCACTCTCAGTTGCCCCGAATGCCCCTTAAAGGGCAACAGTGCCACAAGTTACCCTGCTCTTAATTAATCCTATGCCCCTAAGTCATAGGAGACTTAAATGCCTAAAAGAAATCTAAAGATTTTTCTCCTCCAAGGGTCTGACAGCTGAACTTAGCCCCTCCCACAAAGGCTCATGGCCCCAAGGTCTCGGTCACATTAAATGCCTTGGGGGCCGAAGAAACCCTGAGGTGTGGGGGAATGAAGGGAGAAGGATCGGGTTGGGGCAGATGGGAGACTAAGATTGGGCTAAAGAGAGGGGGAGCCTGCGGCAGAGTTGTGGTTCGGGGATGTGGGTTTTGTGGCTGAACTCGAAGGTGCGGTAGGAAACTAGGATCAGAGCTGACAGTCAGGGTGGAGTTCACAGGTCCAGGAGGAGTTAGGGGCTGACACGGCTAGAAAAAGACCAAGGAGGATGTGAGGCTTGGGCGGTCTCCACAGCCCGAGGATGAAGGTAAGGCCCCTCTCAAACGTCTGTGATTGGATGCTCCCTTAAGTCCCGCCTACCCGGACCCTCTCCCCTCAAGCCCCGCCCACGCCGCCGGGCGCGCGCCTGAGGAGCGGGGAGGGGGACCAAGCTGAAGAAGGGGGGAGGGGGAGAGGAGAGGCTCGTGCACGCGCCCCACTCGCCGCCTGTGCGCGAGCAGCGCGCTCCCGCTGCCCGCGTCGCCATCTTTTCCCCTCCGTCTGTCTGTCTGCCGTTGGCTTTGTCCGTCTGCAGCGCCGCCCCTCGGCTCCCAGCCACCGGCTCGGCCCGGAGCCGCCCTCCGCCTGCTAGGGCTCAGTCCCAGAGAGCCCCGGCCCGGCTGGCCCGAGCTGCGGCCCGGGGCCCATTGTCCAGCGGTCCGTCTGTCCGGAGGCGGGGCCCAGGCACCCAGAGCGCCGCGGAGCGCCGAGGCGCCGGGTAAAAAGACCCCCGACTGCTTCCCCCCGGGGCGCGGCTGAGGATGCAGGGGCTCCTCGTCCCCGTCTTGGTCGCCGGCTGTCGGTCCTTTTGTCTGTCTGTGTCTGCGGAGGGGCTAGGGGCTCGCTCGGGCCTGGGAGGCGGGGGCAGCCCGGGCTCCGACCCTCCCCTGCCCCGGCTTCCCGAGACCAGGCCGGACCCGGCTGGCTCCCCACCCAGCCGTTCCTCTTTCCGTCCCTCTGGCGGTCTCGGGCGCGGGAGGGGCGTCCTCGCCGCCGCCCTCCCCGCCTGGCCCAGGTCGGGCTCGGCCGGGCACGGCCAGGACGGCCCGGCGGCTGACAGGCTGGGGTGGAGCTGGGGAGGGGGCGGGTGGGCGTGGGAGAGCCGACCCGGGTGTCAGTCCAGCGGCGTGGTCTTGCAGAGAGGCTTCTAAATTTAGATTCTGAGAGGACTGTTTTGTCTGAGGGCTTGTCCGAGCCGCTTCGGAAGACCTCTGGCTCTTGTCAGATAATTCCTGGGAATGTACCTGTGCTCGTGCTTGAAGAAGTCACAGGGACCATCTCGGCTGATTATACACATGCTCCAGACCAAACAGAAGTGGGAACAGGGTGAAGAGTAAGGTGGCTACGTGACCAGCTTTCTTGTCCTCTCCTTTTTGGCAGATACAAATCACTAGGATTCAGACGAGTTTACTTTGCTCCGTGGGAACTGCACCAGAGCTGGAGGTGGGAGTGCACCCTCTTTTATGAAAGCTTGGATTTCCCCCTTTTTATTCTTGCTAAAGTCTGTGGTGTGTCCTGGCAGCTGCAACCTAACACCTGTGGGAGAGGAGGGACAGTGTTAAGGGGAGACCTTTGCCCTCCCTCTCCTGAGGACTCTTAACCTTGGTCTCAAGACAAAGCTGCCTTCCTATAAACTAGAATCCCTTGTAGACCTGAATCTCACCGTTTACCTTTCTTCCCATCCCATTTTTCTTCCAGATGGTGATGTTCAGACAGCTATTCATTTACATTTTTGTGTTGGTTTTAGATTCAGGCTTGGGAACCGAGGCAGTGTTGAAATGAATGAGTGACCTTTGGGACAATGTGTCTGTGGATTTTATTAGCTTTTAGTGCCTATAAAACAGTTGTCTAACCTCTGAGATCTTGCTGTGCGGTCAAGAATGTACTTCCAGTGCTAGCTGTTTATTCGTTTATTCATTCATTCATTTTCTTACTTATTTTCAAGAGTCTATGACTCCACAGGCTTTCTTTTTTTGAAAGAGGGGAGAGTATTTGCTTATTTTCCCCTTAATCCTTCAGGTGTGAAGTCCCATTGGGTACCATCTGGTTTATTCCCCGTTTGGCCACTAGGAGGATTGTGAGATGCTGTGGATACTGCCGATTTAAATATGCAGATGCTCATCTGTTTCTGACTTACAGCTTTAGTGTTGAACTGTTGCCTCACCAGGTTGATTTGAACAGAGCCTGTCTCAAATTATTTGGCCTTCCTTCAGAAGGATCTTTATTACCTTTATCTCACAGTTTCAATTTCTGATCTTGAGGAGAAAATTTAAAGTTTAGTTAAGATTCCATTTTTTCCTTATATAATAGAGAGGTTGTAGCTCTGCAAATTTTAGAAAAAATGATAGACAACCTGTATTTCATTCAGCTTTCCACTTTGTGATTCCACAGACTTACAGGAAAAGACCTAAAGTGCAATATTCATTCACTGCTTCCATTAATAAAATAACTACTTGATTAGAAAGAAATGATCTACACAAACAAAGCTTAGAACAGAGAACACATACCATTAGCATTAGCACTCAGCATACTGCTCTCTAAATAGTTAAAGTTGATTTTTACTGTATCCATTTGGAGTTTTGTTGTTTTTGTTTTTGTTTTAATTGAAGGTCTGAAAAAGAACTGTGTTTGATATGCAGATATGATAGAAGACTGCCTGAAAGCTGCTTCCTTTGCCACTTCCTGTGGAGGCCTGTCTTTGCCATTTGCGGTTTCTTTCTTCTCTTGGTAAGGGGAGGCAGGATCTGATTACAGGGCTGAGGTCCTTTCTTGCTACGTAGAGGAGGTAGTTGGCATAACAGGAGGTGAGTCTTCACTAATGAGTGCAAAGTATAGCTAGTAGTAGCCTCTCACAGTGCTTCTTAAGGCAATAAACTACAATTTTATATTTTCTTATTCAGTGTGGGTACAATTTGAGAAGGCAGGAACTGAAAGAAAACTTAGAGGGTGACCAGAGCCATATTCTTGTCTTTGGTAGGAAAGACAATGTCTCTTTTTAATTTATGTCTGTTAATTCACTCTGTCTTTCAAAGAAAATTTCACAGCTTCCGCTACTAATCCATTTCAGACTCTCTAACGATACTTACTGCTGGGAAAATCTTTCTTATAACTAACCAGGAACCTCCAGGCTTAAGTATCTGTTCCCTCCTGTTTCAGGGAAGCAGGTGCATGTCTCTGGAAACTTCTTGTTTGGGGAGTTTTTCTCTTTGTTCCTCCCACTGATCTCTTTGCTACATAGAGGCTGGATTGACAAGAGGCCCTAAAGTTATTAACTTTGACCACTGCTCCAGAGCATGTGAGCAAAGCCAGGTTGATATTTCATAGTCGGATACTGAATTAGTACTCAACAATGTGGATGGCATCTGGCTTTTCTGGTGAAAGCCCATCTTCAACCCTGGAAGTCTGATTGGCTTTAGTGCCTTGTCATCCACAGTGTCCAGCACTGTGTCTGCATCACTAGATAGAGACTCTATTTCCCAAGTTGTTTTCATTTATAGATGCCTAAGAGTTTTGAGACATTTCCTATCTCACAGGGATGTGATGCCTTTGTCACCTCCAGGCGAGATAACTTCTTGAGAAAAACATCTGGAGGCTCCCATTGGTGCAGATTGCAGGGCTTGACTTCCAGTGGGCATGTGACATGTGAACTGCCACCCTCTTTAGCTTCCTTTTGCTTCCTTTTATAATTCACCAGGGTTATCCCTTTGACCCTGCAGTGCTTCTAACGCTGGCTGCCTGAATTTTTTGCTTCCTTTTCTATCCAGTCACCTTGGTCATGATCATTTAACAGTATTCTGGATTCCACAGATAGATTTAGAGTGGAATTCTATAAATCCTCTGAAGGGGTCCCCTCTTAAACTTCTTGGGACCTTGATGTTGTGCTAGAGATTTATTCATTTCTTTCTGTCTTTAATTAGTTTAATTATTTATAGCTGTTGAGTTTTATATGCTCAAGAACTATTTTTGAAAGTCTTTTTATTTTTTAATTCAGTATTAATTTCTGGGCAAAATGACATGTGCTAACAATATCCTTTTTATTGTAGGTCAGCGCCCTGCAAGGAGGTAGTAATATATCCAGTTGTGAAACTGGGAAAGGCCAGAGCTCTTGGACCAGGGAAACATGTCCCGTCGGAAACAGACAAATCCAAATAAAGTTCACTGTGAGTATAGGGCTCTGTCTTCTGGAACGTGGGAACGTTGAGGGTTGGAATGGAAGAGTAATCTGAATTTAGGTGAGAGGCTCACCCTAATTTGTGAAGGAAAAAAGGGTTAAAGGTGTTGAACACGATGGATGTAAAGTGTGTTTGGTTGCTAGAGGAGGTGTTAGAAACTTGTCTCAGGAGTAGGTACACTTGATTCATCCTTAGTATTCACGTTAACAAACATTGAAAGGATATCTACTTTGTGCAAAGCCTTGTGCTGGATCCCAGGGCTGTGAAACAGTAGAAGGATGCGTAAGACTATAATGTAGCCACAGATATATATATTTAAATAATATAAAAATACAAGATAGGGGCCGCCTGGTGGCGCAGCAGTTAAGTTCCCATGCTCCGCTTCAGTGGCCTGGGGTTTGCTGGTTCGGATCCTGGGTGCAGACCCACACACTGCTTGTAGGGCCATGCTGTGGCAGGTGTCTCATATAAAATAGAGGAAGATGGGCATGGATGTTAGCCCAGGGCCCGTCTTCCTCAGCAAAAAGAGGAGGATTGGCAGCAGATGTTAGCTCAGGGCTGATCTTCCTCAAAAAAACACAAAAAAACAAGATAGTATACGCTAAGTGCCAAACAGGGTTGCTGCAGACAGAGTGTACTACAGAAGTTAAGAGGAAGGAAAGAGCTCCCTGGACTGAGGTAGCAAGGGAGTGCTTGATGGAAGAGGCCCTAGACCATGAACTTGAACTAGGCCTTAGAAGGTAGAAAGTGGATTTTAAAATAAGAGGAAGGGAGAGGTGAAATCAGGTAGGGAAAATGATGTGGGAAAAGATACAAGGGGGAATGCACATGTGTTCAGGGGTCAAGGAGACTTTATATGAAGGAGAAGTCACAGGACACAAGGTTGGAGATGTTTAACTCTACATTGTAGAGGCCTGGAGGCCAGGCAAAGTTCAAATCTCATTCTGAAGACTGTACAGAGCTACTGAAGGCTTTTAAGCAGGGGGAGTGGAGTGACGTTTATAATGCAGTGTTTTAGACCTATGAAGCAGTGTGGGATGGGTCACATGAAGGAGAGACTGGTAACAGGAAGACCAGGTATGCACTGTCGTCTTGCATTGTTTCTCAACAGTTTCATATGTATGTTTTAGTTCAGCAATTAGATTGTAAATTTCCAAAGGGCAGAGACTATATCCCATGTATATTTCCTACTATCCCTCTCTACTTCTAGCACTGCTCAGAGGGTATTCAAAAGTGCCTTATTAAATTAACATTAATATGTCTATGCAGATTTGAGATAATTAACCAGATAATTTCCTATGACCTGAAGAGATAAGCATCCTCACCCAAATGTTTATAAAAGAGACACATAGCTCCCTATTATTATGGAGGACTGACCAAATAAAATACAGCAACATTTGAAGAGAATTCAGTGGTATAACATATGAGTTTTTTTTAAAAGGAAAAAAATCTACATTTGAGAGGATAGATTAGTCAAGGAGTTAAGAGGACTAAAATTTATTTATGCCAGGCACTATGTACCTTATTTTATCTTATTGGGTAATTTCAAGAGTAGGAGAGAAAACAGTAGGAACAGAGGAATTAAGAGGACTTCAGCATCTTATAGATTAATGAGATTAGGGTAGCACAGCTCCATAGACAATTAATTCTTCAATTTAAGTCCTGGAAAAGTTTTATAAGACCGAACAAGTTGGATGCTTCTAGGACTGTATTCTGGAGTAGGTGGATGTGGAAGCCTGCTTAATATAAAAGTGAGTGGTTTAGGAAGGATTTAGAAATTGCTGCTAAAACGGTAAAACTTAATGGACTTGAATGTGAGGATTGTTGAAAGAGATAAAATGAAGTATCTCTAGAATAAGTAATCCACCACAGAGTTTAAGAGGATTGCTTGAAGGTGACTATTGATAAAAGACACAGATGTGACCCCAAGAAGGTAGGGCAGGAAAGATACTCCTAGTAGAGATGATGTATTCACAAATAAGGCAATCATAGGAGTTGGTGTTTACCTATAAAAGCCACCTGTCCACAGAGACTGGTTAGATTTGAGGAAAGTAGCTGGCAGGGATGATGGCATGATTGTGGTAAGGCCAGGGGTACCGGTAAAGGCTTATGTGGCCTATGCCTGCATCCACATAACATATATCCATTAGCTGCATCTCCTCCCACCATATTCAGTCAAACCCAGGATGAGCTGGTATTGGAGTGGGAAAACAGATGGACAAACAAGCCATGGAGGAGACAATGTCATACATCCACAGCTACAGAAATGCAGTTTCCAGGGCGAGTGAACGCTGTATTGTGGTGGAGTGGGAGGGACTTTGCAGGCTCTGTGGTAGTGACCATTAAGAGGCTGTGAACAGAAATGTTCAGCTGAAACTAAAGGGCAGACACCCAGCGAGGGGCTGTTTTCAGTGATCCATTTGGACATGGAACTGTGAGGGCTTCCCAAGTGATGGACTAAGCTTGCCCGAAGAAGAAAAGAGACTGAAATTTGCTGGTCTCTCAGAACCTTCTATTTATTTACTATTTGGGGACTAAAGCGGATTCTGCCTTTTTTGAAAGGTCATCTTCTCATTGCCCGTGATAGTAATGGCAAGTAGAAAGAGGTAATTTCAGTCTTCTGACCACTTGAGTCTCCTATCCCCTTGCAGTGAAATGGAACCAATCAAATGTATGGAATTTAATGCTGCGCATCTATTTAAAGTAAATGGAATGGACTCGAGGTCTGGGAGGCAGGAAAGTCTACAGAAGCTTTGCGTAAATTTCAAAGCCAGTCAGCACTTGAGCAGAGTAATGGCTGAGCTCCATTAGATCTGCCTTCTGAGAAGAAGATTGTGTGGCATGAAGCTCAAAGCCCGCCTAAAAGAATATATTAAGAATCCCCCTGCTGTAGCCTGGCAGCATTTGTCAGATCCGCTTTAAAAGTCAATGGGCAGGCTGCTCTGGCATTTACTTGGCTTTCCTCAGAACAGTCTCTGTATCTAAATTACTGTCATGATCTCTTCCTCAGAAACATCAAGGCAGACTTTTGTGTTTTGCCCAGTACATTAATAGACTTGATGCAGAGCTTTTGGAATAAAAGCGCAGAATTGTTAGTCACAGAGAAACTGCTGATGGGCTGAAGTCTCTGTTAGACCTTCTTGCCTCCTTCCTTCCTCATCTCACTCTGTTCCGAGTTCTGTCAGCTCTTTCTAAAGAGGTTGAAAATGGAGTCCCTTGCACTCTCTCATTCGGTATGTTTATACTAAGCAAACCACTAAGAAAAGGAAAACTGCTTTTTCTTAAGAGACTTGTTTTCAGATTGCAAAGTACATACGAGACTAAAAACTTTCAACTTCAATTAAACACTTTTCAGCTTTTACAGAGAAGTAGGAAAAAAAGCTGTTCAAGTCCCTTCTCTTCTAAAAAGTACAACTTGTTTTGTCTTCGTTCATTCTCTCAACATCTTTGTGAGGTAAATGGCTATATTCCCAACAGGTGATAGCACCTTGGGTTACAGAGACTGTCAGGTACAAATGGAATCCTAAGCTCCTCATTCCCAATACTAGCTCATTTTTTCTGAATTTGACATCTGCTCTCTTAGAATATGTTTCAGCTGCTTTACGTAATTTCAACCAGCCAGAAATTGCATTTATTTAACTGCACCAAGGATTCAAGAAAGAGAATTGTAAAATCTTTGCCTTTCAATAACTTTCATCTCAGTCTTCTCATCTGTTCTATAAACTTGCTTGCATGGTATTGTTCTTATCTGGTCTGAAAAACCTTAGCCAAATCAGACAAACGGTATCTTGATTTCATACCAAAAAAAGGAGAGGTAGCACCTTGCTCTTTACTGTGACGCTTAGACAACTTGTTCCTAACTATTAATAGACAAATAAATACCCATGTTAAATAAGATGGTTGCCCTACATTAATATCTAGAGACCAGAGGATTTTTTTTAACCTACTCCAACAGTCTCAAGATAGAAGGAAATAATAATTCTACATTATAAAATCAGGCATTTGTATAACACTTCTTAATCACTAGTATCTCTATGGATCACATTATACTTGAGTTAATGAGACATACTTTTAGCAGGTCTCACTACCTTCTTATGAAAGGATAATTTTGGACAGTCAGATTTAGGGAATGAGGTAAATAGTGACTACTGAAAGATTATTCACATATCTTTTCCTATGAGGTCTGCCAAAATTACTTCATTATGGTTTTTATATATTTTGCTTTATGTTGATGTTTAAAATAGGAACAGCCCTGAGGAATAAAGTTTGCCTTAGCCTTTTTCCTAAGTCAGGAATAGAATAAAATATAAGAACTACATCAATAGACAAAAATACACTTTGAGCGCAAGTTTATAGAGACTAAACTGAATTACTAGCTGATCTTGCAAAGTACATATTTTTTTAGGTGCCCTTCTACTGATCCAATGGTGAGGCCCTATTAAGAAAGGAAAAATTAAGAAGTGTATATTCTTTTTATAAACCTAGCTGGTTCTGGGTAGACTTCTTTAGAGATGAAAAGTGTCACTGATGAGAATGGTCTGCCCCTTGGTAATCATATGCTGATACATAACTTGTTCCTTAGTGCCGTATCTGCCTGTGGTCACCAAGTCTGAAAACATGCATCTACCCGGAAGAATTCAGTAACTGTTCCAGTTGGCCATGGTCTTGTGGTTGCAGTGGAACCAACATGGAGAAAGTAAATATTTCACTTCTGCAAAGAAGGAAGAGGAGGTGCTATAACGCAATTCATTTTTTGCTTTCCCTAACAATAATTTATATCCAGTGTCATCTTGGATATTATGAAAGTTGACTTAAAGCAGCTTATCTTTCCTGTGCTTGAGGGCTGTGTGGCTAGATGTACACTTGAACTCTAACCACCTCTATTCCCACTCACAGTATCAGTCAGAGTAGCCATTATATTAGTTAGTTACTCTAAACTAGGCATGATAACTCAACACATGGTATCAGAACCATCAAAATGATGGTTCCTTTTGTCATATACTGGCCCTGAGAAGATTATTTTGATATTTGAGTTGTATGTATCAGTTTTACATGGTCTGAAGGTAACACTAATACTAGGATCAGAGCCATTCTCACATAGAGACAACTGTTTGTTTTCAGCAAACCCATTCTGATGAACTGCCTAACCTTCTGCTTACATCTCTACCAGAAAGCAGCTTAAAAATATGGATATTAGAGTTGGACAGATCTGGGTTTGAATACTTAGTTCCACCATAGACCTTAGTTTTCTCCTAAGTAAAGTATGGGGGAGTAATACCTACCACATAGAGTTTTGCAGAGAATTAAGGTGAGATAACAACTATAAAGCACTTAACATGGAGCCTGGAACTAGAAAGTGCAAATCATAGCTATTATTGGTGTTTAGCACTTAGCATAGAGTAGATGCTTAATGAATATTTGCTGAACAAATGCCTAAGTGAATCACATGAAGCCTACTTCACATCAACTCTTTCACTGCCCACAGACTCGTAGTGCAGGTCGACTGACCAGTTCATTCCTCCTACATCATTGTATCCTCTATCGAAACCTGAGCCTGTTTACTTTCCTTTCTCTCTTCAGTAAGAAAGTGACTGTTCTGTTGTCAAACATTTCAGTAGGGCTTTTTTTTTTCTCTCTTGGTGGCTGACTGTAGTTTCCACTTTGACTGAGATAATGGAAACCTCAAGAAACCCAATTCTCTTTTCTCCTTAGTTTGCCTCTTGGAAATAAAAGAGCACTTAAATGTTAACTCTTCAATAACCACTCTGCAGAGTTCCTCAGAAGTAAATGCATAATCAAGTTTGGGTCCAGGGCTCTTGGATACCCCTTACCAAAAAAACAAAACAACTTACCTTGGACCAAGGAGACTAGATGAAATACTATTTGTTGCAAATTAGTTGGCATGTTTTAGGAAGTTTGTTCTTCAGCAGAAATGAGTTCATATATTATCTGTTCTCTTTTTAATCCATTATTCAACCAGTTGCTGATTTGCTCATGGCTAGTTCTGATAGACATTAGAAAGAGAGTCAAGGAAGAACTTCCAGAGCATGTCTTGGAAGGAGAGTGGATGAAAGATGGGATTAGAGACACTTTTCTTTAGACAGTTTATTTGAGGCACTTGTTTATAGTCAGATAGACACTGAGTCTGGGCCATTGTGCTAGTACATTAAGATGCAGAGATTGTACCCAAATTTGTTGCCCCATCTTCATCCCATCACTTTGCCTCTTCTTGCCTCTGTCTCCCCAGTCCTGATGGAAGGTTGTAATTGGAGTTGAGATTCTGAAGTTAAATTTGTAAAGCAGCAATGGATCACCTTTTGAAAGGAGTCAAAATTAGGAGAATTTAAGGGAAGCATGTGATGCTTTTTAGAGCATCTGGCTTACTGCCCAGGAAGAGTAGCTGCACGCAGAAACTGTTGGAAGCAACAAGCTGACTTGGAGATGAACGACCTCACCACAGGGTTCTTGCCTGTCTCCTACCTTTGAATGGTCTGACTTTCCAACCAGCTTGCCTGGGGATGTGCTGCCCAGCTGGTGGCCTGACTATTTTTCCTTGTGACCACCAGGGGATCAAGTATTTGCTGGGCTAGAAGAGCAAGCCCGCCAGGCGATGATGAAAACTGATTTTCCTGGAGACCTTGGCAGTCAGCGACAAGCTATCCAACAACTAAGAGATCAGGACTCCAGTAGCAGTGAGTTCTGCACCTTCTGGTAATGACTCAGGGCAATGGGAGAAGAATTATCAGAGTGTGTGTGCTCTGGGGATTGTGCATGGGGGTTGGGAGGAAGACATGAAGAAGGAGATTTGTGGATCCTCAGTGTTCCCAAATGTGTTCTAAGGTGTATAGGCATATGCTTATCCAGAGAATAGGTTTGGCATTATGTTTTTTTTTTAACTCATGGACTGTAGTACTTAGCACAGTGCCATGCACAGATAGGTTTGTGATGATAGTGGTAGAGAGGGACAAAGGAATAATTAGTGCTCAAGCAGCCTCTGGGTTAGGTCAGATGAAAAGAAAACAATCCCTGCCTCCTAGGATCCTTTTATTCTTAATTAATAAAATGTAAGTGGCATTAGTGAAACTTTTGCTTGAGGGCCCCATTTAATGTTATACAAGAATATTTGCTTACTAATGAGATTATGCATCATATAAAATGCTGATGTGGAGATCTTCCCACACCAAGTCCTAAGTAGATCCCTGTGGTTAAGAGATGGCAAAGACAGTGGCTGGTAACCAGTTGAGTCTCATGGATTGTCTGTTCCATGACCTGACTGAACAAATACACTTTGAGATGTATTTCCTAGGATGATTTCTACACTTGACTAATCTTATCCATCTGATATTGGTTATTATTAGTGTCAATTCAGAGTGACATTTCTGATTTTTCTCCACATTTGGGCTTGAGGAAGAATGAAGAGGGAGAGAGTTCTGCACCCTTCTAGGAGCTACAGTTTCCACTCAAACTAATAATTTAGCAACAAAATAATAATAATAATTTAGCAGTTAATTGCTCAGGTACATAAAAATGAACCCAAATATTTCTAGAAAACCTGAGGGAGCCACCAGTTTGAGTGACAGGTAGGAATGGCAACATCTATAAAAGTCTAATAGGTTTCCATTCTGGAAAAGATGCATCATCCCTCTAGACAGCATACTTATTTTTTAAAACTCTTTTTAGTAGAGAGATATATTTGGATTTTTGATAAATTTACAAAAATATGTTTGATACAATGTTGTCTTAGACTAAATTTACAAGTATTCCAAATAAGCTGGTAAGAAAATATGGTATGATTTAATCTGTGCCAATCCTTTATTACTGAGATGGATTCAAACTAAAACTTTGGGCTGGGGAATAAGGCATATGTACCATAGATCTTTCCAGGGCCCAAATTCAGTACACCAATCAAGCAGAGTATCTAACAGACACAGGTATCTACTAGCAGATGATTTAGCTAGATTTTCTTATGAAGACAGGGAATGTAACCAGTTTTGCCCACACATTGGTGATTTAGAAATTATGCAAGGGACAGTAGAGAGAAAACAAGAAGCACTGTTAGCTAGGAACTGTAAGCTGATGCAGAGAGACTGGTGAAACTCTACCCTGTATTTCTTCCTTGCTTACAGTCAGGCCCAGAAGTCCACGATCTAGGTGGGTTGGGTTGGGGCTGGAGTCTGACAGCTTTCTTAGGCTTGGCTTCCTCTTGTGATCTTCAAGGTACTAGTACTGTTTTTTTTCCTTTCTGAAAGAACTCTCTTCGTTATCATGGGTTTTGTTTTTAATCATTTTTTCCCCTCTTTTGTAAATAATACAGTGAAATATCACACAAACCTTGCAGATCCCCCAGCAACAAGCAGACCTTCTCACAGCCGCACCCTGCCCCTAAAGGAAAACAAACTCAATTCTTATTTTAGTCACAAGAAATTATATTTTATCCTAAAGAAAAGAATGGCCTGTTGCCGCCACTTAATGCATTCAGTCATCCATCAGATAATTCAAAGAACCAAAGGAAACAATAGATTTATTTAGTCTAGAATGCTGAGTTTCTAGCAGAGTAAGAACACAGTGAGTCAAATACAACTACAGACTGCCTGAGGTTGGTTGCTGTGCTAATTTTTCCACTGTACTGAACAGCCCTTTCTCTGTAAAGTGACATCTTTTTTACCTAATTTACTACTGCCTCCTTTATTGACAAGAGGAAAGAAAATCTTGTTGGTATTTCTGTAAGTGTGTCTTGGGGTTTCTTGGGAAAGAACAGATTAGTGGGACTCAGAATAGAATAGTATACTTGACACCACAGAGAAATTGTGCAGGGGGTTATGGAGAAAAGTAAGTAATAAAATCAGTGAGAAGTGTTGGTAAGTCAGAGGTGGTGTGTTGTGGGAATGAGCATGGTGTGAGGTGCATGGGAGGTGTGATTTGAAGTGTGAGATATTTGGGAACCATGTGTAAGAAGTTATTATTTTGTGATAATGTACAGGACCCAATAACCATTTTCCAATGCAGTTTTGCCTCAGATTTTCTCTTTAGTGTGTATTTGGCATTATAAACAAGAGCTATAATTGGCTTCCACTTAACATAACTTTTATCCTACTAAGCACTGACACAAACTATATTATGGAAGATCTGAAAATGTTTTCTACTATAGCTGCAAACTCTAGGGTGGAAAGCAACTGAAGATGTATTCATGCAAAAAGCAGAACAAGTAACCAGTTTGTGTGTTCCAGGTGACAGTGAGGGTGATGAAGAGGAGACCACGCAAGATGAAGTCTCTTCCCACACATCAGAGGAAGATGGAGGGGTGGTCAAAGTGGAAAAAGAGTTAGAAAATGCAGAACAGCCTGTTGGTGGGAACAAAGTGGTAGAACATGAGGCAAGTGACAAATGGCCCCTGAGTCTGGGAACTCCATTCACCCTTCTACTGGGCCCTGAGGCATGTCATCCGCTTATAAGTCTTGCCTCTGACGGTTTCCTGGGCCTTCATATGAAGCCTCTCTTCCTTCACAGTGCCAGTTACCAAACCTCAGACACACAGGTCTCATCACACTGAGCTTTCCTTTTCCACCTACGTGTCACTACACCCACGTACAGCTGTCCGTCCTAAGCTCCCCACTTGTTTCCAGACAGACTGTCCACCTTTGCAAAACTATCAGCTGACTTCCTGAGGTGTAGTCTTGAATATGCTTGCACATTTAAGTCATAGTGTTACCTGAAGTGCCATCTTCTTACTAAATTGTTTCCTGAGGATTCCTGCAGGAAGCATGGCAAGAGGGAAGCTAATCCTCTCTTTAAAGAGTTTACTTTAGGGAAAACAGTAGATAAGCTCTCTCTGGGGCAATCATTTGTCCTTATGCAGGAAGCCTTGGAGAAAATGGAGATGGGTGCAAATTTCATTCCTTTTTTTCCTATTGCATTTTCTTTTGGTTCATATAGGAACCTAAGAATAATATGTGATACCAAGTTGTGATCCTTTTAACAGGATACCCTGTTAAAAGAAGTAGGGGCAGGGAAGAGACTGGTCAATAGTCTTAATGAATTGCCTCCTTGTTGAATTGCAGGTCACGGAGAATTTGAATTCTGACCCCTTACTTGGACTCTGCCAGTGTCCCCTGTGCCAGCTAGACTGTGGGAGTCGGGAGCAGCTGATTGCTCACGTGTACCAGGTATGGCCTGGGGAGCTGTGTGCTCTGGAACACGAGGGCCAGCAGCCTGTTTATCCTTTGCCTCCAGCTCCTGAAGGAACCTTGGGTTGTTGCCTCCGTTAAGACTCCACTCCAATCCTCACTCAAATCCAGAACATTTTAGAGAATAAGTGGGATATGTTAGGTAAATACTTCTGGATTCCCAGGCAGACACATTATGAAAATTATCATTTTTTTCTAAATTATTTAATGCATATTTTAAATAGTGAAATAGAAACTAACATTTGTTAATAACGAGGGCTTTGTTTTAAAAAAGAAAAAATGAGTTAACATAAATGTTTCTGAAATATTGCAGAAAGTTAATATAAATGAGGGGCTCAGAATATGACAAATTTTTGCGTTTTTCCCCGATCAAATCGCAAAGCACACATGCCTTGTGAGCTATTGAAAGGGCATCAGCACACATGGCAGCCTGGGTTTTAACATAAAGATAGTTGGTTCCTGAGGAGAAGCATTTCTTTAGAAGACTGTTTTTTAAAAGCTTGAAGGAAAAGCAGGACACTTAAATACCTTTGGCTGCCAGTCTTCCCAGCCAGCTTCTAGACTTGGCCTTCACCGCTCCCTTAACATGCACTTGTACCTGCACAATGTGAGGCAAGCAGACAGAGAGAAATTATCCCAAGCATGAATTCTTCTCAGGCTCTGAAGAGGGCTCTGAGTCTGGAGTCCCATTGTTCCTCAAGCCAGTCATGTGTCCCACAATGCAGTCAGAACTCAAACTAATAAAATCTTAGCAATGAATTGAATGGCCTTGCCCTTCTGAAGGTCCGTTAATACTTACTTTCCCAGGTATTAAACAGGGAGAATAGTTGCAAGTCCTTTGTTCTGAGACTAAGGAAAGGGGACGTTTCCAGAAAGTAGGTCCTGAGTGGGTGTAGATTGTCCTGGAGGTTGCATGAGTTGACAGCTGAAGGCTCTGTTTTACAGCACACTGCAGCAGTGGTGAGCGCCAAGAGCTACATGTGTCCTGTCTGTGGCCGGGCCCTTAGCTCTCCAGGGTCATTGGGTCGCCACCTCCTAATCCACTCTGAGGACCAGCGGTCTAACTGTGCTGTATGTGGAACCCGTTTCACCAGCCATGCCACATTTAACAGGTTAGCCGAGCATCTAACCTTCTTGTGCTGGGAACAAATTACTGGGGGTGGGTTCTGCTCTCCCAAGTCAAAGTGAGTGCTAGAGAAAGGTAATACAAAGGCAGCTGACTCTTGACTCTTTGGAAAGACAAGTAATGAGCCTAGTAAATATGCCTGTTTCATTGGATATCCCCAAAGGAAAATGAATTCCCATTTCTTTCCTCTATCGCAATGATATTTTCATCTAGAAAGAGATGTGGGGAAGTCTAGGAATATTCATGATAAAGCATGGAGTAAGAACTTACAGGGTGCTGAGAGGACCTGCTCCGAGGACATAGTCTCTATTGTGTCTCAGGAAGACTAGAACTGTGTGAATTGTGCCCTAGTCCCATTTGCTAGTGTATAATAGAGTTGGCCAGGGGAGGAGGCCGCTGAGCCAGTGGACTGTACCTTCCCTGAAGGCAGCTTCCACCTGAGGGAGGACTGCTCTGCACAGCTCCTACCACACACCATCGTTCTAGCTTGAATGAAAACTGCACATTGTAAGGATGACTCTGATCTGGTGACTTGCTGTGGCAGTTGGCTCTGTCTTTAACTCCAGGTGGGCTTTAAGACTTGATAGACACCGTAGGCCACAGAGCAGGGGTGGAGAGGTAGAAGAGGTCTCCTGAGCACTCAAACTGACCCCTAGTGGTGAACTTGGAGCAACTGGCCTGGTAGGACAAGAGTATCAGGGCTGGATACCTAAGCCTTGCTAGAAGGTGACACTAACCATCCAATATTTTTGCTTTCCAGTGAGAAACTTCCTGAAGTACTTAATATGGAATCCCTACCCCCAGCTCACAGTGAGGGCCCCTCCAGTGCTGAGGGGAAGGACATTGCTTTTAGTCCTCCAGTGTACCCTGCTGGAATTCTGCTTGTGTGCAACAACTGTGCTGCCTACCGGAAGCTACTGGAATCCCAGACCCCCAGTGTACGCAAGTGGGCTCTTCGTCGACAGAATGAGCCTTTGGAAGTAAGGCTGCAGCGGCTGGAACGAGAGCGCACGGCCAAGAAGAGCCGGCGGGACAATGAGACCCCCGAGGAACGGGAGGTAAGACGCATGAGGGACCGCGAGGCCAAGCGCCTGCAGCGCATGCAGGAGACAGATGAGCAGCGGGCACGCAGGTTGCAGCGGGATCGGGAGGCCATGAGGCTGAAGCGGGCCAATGAAACCCCAGAGAAGCGGCAGGCCCGGCTCATCCGGGAGCGGGAGGCCAAGCGGCTCAAGAGGAGGCTGGAGAAAATGGACATGATGTTGCGAGCTCAGTTTGGCCAGGACCCTTCTGCCATGGCAGCCTTAGCAGCTGAAATGAACTTCTTCCAGCTACCGGTGAGTGGGGTAGAATTGGACAGCCAGCTCCTGGGCAAGATGGCCTTTGAAGAGCAGAATAGCAGCTCTCTACACTGAACCACACCCTCCTGCCTGCTCACCCGCCCACCCAGGCCCACAGGGATCAGGGCCCTGTCCTTGCTGCCAGAGGCAGGCCCAGGGTTTTTGCAGGTGGACCTGTGTACCCCTTGCATGTGGGAGCAGGATGATGGAGTCAGGAAGGACCCAGCTCAAGGCAGCTCTGGACAAGGGAGCAGGCACTGGCCTCCCCAGCCCACAGAGAACTGGACTCCCCAGCCCACTGCTGTAGGGTACGCTTTAGGACTGTGGGGCCCCAATGTGGCCCATGGAGTTGTCAGAGCAAATAAATTAATTTTATCTTTACTGGTCCTTTCCTGTTTTTCTCTGTTTCATTCTAGCAAATGAATTGATCTAGGAGAGACCTGGGTAGAAGTTTTCAAGCAGTGACTTCTGGCAGATTGTCGTTTTCTGAGGGAGGGTGCTCCTCTCCAAGCAAAGATCCCTTATTTGGGCCTTTACAAGTTGATGAGGTACAACTAGGACACTAAAGAAGGAACCGATGCTGACTTTGTGAGGGTCCATCCCCACCACCGTAACAAAGATAATCCAGTCCCAATGGCTATTGAAACTGAGCTTACCTTTTCTAAACTCAAGTAGACACCTTTCCTCATACATGGCATTTTCTAAAGAAGATACAGTATTTAGACTAGGTGCTGGGTACTTTTGCCAGCAGAATCCAGTTTGTCAAACTTAAAATTCTATCCCAGACAGCAGTCAGCTGCACTTAGGAATATGTGCACAGAAATAGCTGCCTTAAGGTCCATAGCACCAAAAAACTCACGTTTGAGAGAAGAGATAATCCATCTTTTTATTTATTCCCCAGAGCCAAGATGAGATAATAAAACCCATTGATGGAAATCCAGAATTAAGGTGATATGAGACCACAAGTCAATAGTGGTCAAGACTAGAGCAAAATGACTACTCTCTGGCAGTTTGTGTGGCTGCCAAACCATGGAGGGAGACAAGAGCTGAGGTCATTTCTAAAAACCTTCTGTGATGGTACAGAACAAGCACAGAACTTTCCTTAGCCTGCACCAGAGGTTGTGTACAGTTTAGATAATTATAGATCGTGTGGTCCAGAAGGAAGTGCCCTAGTTAAGCAGTAGTCAGAAAAATAACTATGCCAGGAATGTGGACTTCTTCCAATATCATAAAAAGGAAGCGTGGACTCCTCTCTGACCTCCACAGGTTCAAGGCTATTTAATAGTGTTAACTGACCCCTGACCAAACTAGGGTTAATTCCTACAAGGCGGGCTAAAATAGTTCTGTTCTGAAAAATAAAACAAATTTAATAAGCTTGTCACAAAGGACTGGACATTTAAAAGAAAGTATTTAATTGAGCCAAATGCCTTTCTCTCACAGAGCTCCATATTGAAGTCTTACTTGGAATGCTTCAAAATGGTTGCACACTCAATGTGTGTCAAAGATTATGCTGAGCACTTTACATGGATTATCTCATTTAATTTTTACAACAAACTATGAGTTAATACAAACTCAGAAGTTAAGACACCTGGATTTAAAATTGTGCACTGCCATTTAATAGCTGTCTAACTTTGGGCAAGTTACTAACCTCTGCCCACCCACAAAATAGAAATAGTAGTACTAGCAACAAATGATTGTTAATATATAATGCAGTTGGGATAGTTTGTGGCACATACTAAGTGCTCAATAAATGTATCTGAGTCACTATCATGTATCTGAGTGTTTCACCTCTTACTAGTGGCAAGTTTCCTAAGTTAGAAGCAGTAACAATGATTGGAGCTGACTTATTCCAGCAATTTCTGACAGTATTCCTGAGGAAAGTAAAGAACTGGAGAAAAGGCCAACAGTGAGAACATCTACAGGTCCTTGTGGTGGTTGATTGTGCTAGTATCCAAATCTACAGGTAGACTTCTGGGTCTCTGAAATACATACCAACAGAATATGCAGACCTGCTACAGGACTAGCTTCACAATCTGCCCCGACTCCACCACACGTAGATGGGCACCATTTGCTCTCTATTACAAGCTCTCCCAGGAAGGGTTTTATCCCCCACCCAACAGCCACCATCTAAGGCTGGGATAGGAAGAAGGCGCAAACACCAAAAGGAAAAGCTAGTAGTTTATATAGATAGATATATAGATATATAGATATTGATATATATTGTGTTTACATAGTCCACAAGTTAAATGCAGGTATCCATAAGAGCATTAACAATAAAAATACAATCTGTGTGTAGCCAAGTACAGAGACTTAAAATGGTAAAACAGCAAAAAGGATCTCACAAAAGTACAAATATACAGTACAAATTGATTTATTTAAAACAGTTACAAAAAAGCACAACAAAATAGAGATTATCCTTAGAATTATTAATGCTTTGTTAAAGATCAGGTAGGATTAGAGGGTAAGAAGTGGTATTGGGTGGGGGGAGCACCTGACTAGTTCTAAGGCTTTAGATACAATGCAGTTGATTACATATTAATTCAGCCATTACATACTGGGGATAGTAGTTGGGGGATCAGTTATTTATCTACAGGGAACTCCTACGCAAATCAGATCCATCCAGCCCTCCCCAGTGCAGTCCTTCTTTACTCCTCAGGACCCTAAAGCCACCTGGATGACAACGTTCCCATCCTCCTTTCTCCACCCCATTCCCTATCAATATATTCTTCCCTCCCCTAAGGTGCTGTGCAAGCTGAGAGCAGTCTGCTCTCTGCAGCTGGAACATATACTGTTTTGGCTACAGGGATCCTGTGTGACTAGGAAGGTTGTGGGGGACAGCCCTCTTTTTAATACTTCAAGTTTGCCACGAGTACAGTCAGTTTCTTCCCCAACACAAGATTCTCTTGAATGTGAGTATCAAGCAAATGAGGGATGAACCCTGTCTTTAGCAACACCAGCAATGCACTAACCACTCACAGCTCAGAACTACGTGCAAACTCCCTGTCCAGGGAGTGGGTGTAAAACCACTGTGTCATCAGCTCTCTCTCTCTGAAGAACCTCAGTCCCCATGACAGTCAAAGACAGAAATAAATGCTTGCGAGTTTGACAATAGGTAAAGGCACATGGGCTGCTGCCACACACACTGCAGACAGGAACCCAATTTGAGGCCATCTTCACTGCTGAGCGTTTGCAGTAGAATGGCTTTGGGATCACACAGACTTTGAGTTTGCAATCTACCGGGGGAGGATCTAGGCTTAACAGGAAAACTAATAAAGAAACCTTAGTGTGAAAAGTGCATTTATTACTATCGTTCCTGCTGGGGAGGCTCAGCAGGACAAACCGCACCACCTCTCCTCCTTCCGCCCCAGGCACTATGCATAGTCTGCAGGTAAGGAGAGAATGCAGTCAACTCTAGCATCTTGAGGGCCAGTGTCATCCTAGGCCCAGACCAGGCTTATGGCCCAAAGATAGGTCCTAGAGTTGAAAGAGTAACTGACAGCTACAAAGACCCAGATGCTTATTTTATTATTGCATAATGTGGGAGGCCTTCCCTACCCCAGGGAAGCTGGAGGGTGAAGGCTTCCTAGCAAAGGGCTAATAGATTCCTGGTCAACATCCAACCTAGCATGGTTCAGCTCTTCAACTGTAGTGTACACTTTTTTCCCATCTGGAAAGTACTGTAGCTTCAATGTGGTTGAGTAAACTTAGCCCTAGGAGACCAAGAAGTCTCCCTAAAACTTTACTTTGCTTTTAAGAATGTGACCTAATCTCCCATGGCCAATTAATTGGGTTATCTTTACTCCAGTGGACCCAGGCTCTTTCCCAGTCAACCCATGTCCACCCTTCATCTCCAGTGTGATCACTCAACTCTTCAACATGCCTGCTTGTTGCAGGTTTAAACCATACCACCACCCTGTGCATCTCCTATGATGTCCACTGGTAAAAATAAAACTGCCCCACTTATGGGGCTATTATTTAGTCAAACTCCAAGCCCTCTTCCAACCCCAGAATCCACATAACTGGAGCCAGATGAATCTCCCTGGGATGCTGACACAGGCCCTAATCTGGTTCCCCATCATTTATTTTTTAAAACAGGATACAAGATATCACAAAGGAAAGAAGTTAATACACAGAAAACCCCACTAATGGGACCTGCTTGTTTCTCCCTCAAGACAGTCAGATATTTGGAGCCAAAGGGCTCCCAACAAGCACTGAAGCCAGTTCCCTTTGGATTCACCAGCCCACCAGCAGCATTTCATACTATCCCTATTCAACATGACTTTGCTATAAAGTAACACTTGCACATGTAAGAAGGGACAGGATGCCTGGATTTCATCTACATAGCCAAAGACATGGAAGGACAGGGAGCTATAAAGGGCAGCAGGCAGGACAGTGAGCAGACAGCAGCAGTGGCAAAGCAGCACAGACCAAAGCCCTTGGTGTTAAGACCAACTGGGACCAAGAGTGTGGAAGGGTCAGTCCAGATCTGCTGGGGCCCCTTCCCATTGGGTACAAGTGCTCAGCTCTGAACTCCCAGGTCCCCTTCCCCTGTTCTCCCCCTCCCTCGTGTACACTAATCTTGATGGGGATGATCTAAGACTTGGTTGTATTACCTGTCCTTTACCTGGTTCCCCTACTCCCAAATTGGTATAGGCATTTCCGTTTAGTGCCAGAGTCAGCATTTCTCCTTTCTATCCCCAAACTCTGGAAATGTCCTACCAATGACAAGGAACTGGCTCTGGCCTTCCTCAATTGCCCATTCCCCAAAAGCTGACAGGTTCCCACAAAAATGCTCACTTTCTCAAATCCACTCTTAGGTCTCTTGTGACCTTATGAAATTCCTAAGGAAGAATGGACACACCGTTAAGTTACTCAATTCTCATGGCTGGAAGAAAAGACTGAACCAGAGGGGAAAGGTAAGGGGAATGCCACAAGCTCTAACTAAGATTTAGAGCACAGAGCTTCTTTTCCTGGGAGACCATACTTTACAAGACACCTCTGCAGTTCAGCAAAATCAAGTATTACTATATTATGTATGCATGGCACGGTATTAGGGGAGCTACTGGTATTGCTTCACCAGCAAGAGACAGAAGAGGAAGGAACAGCAGCAGAAAAGTCAGGGCCCAACTTGCCAAGGTTCACAAGATTTTCTCTTTCCAGGATTAAGTGGAAGTTACCAGGCTGGGAAGTGGAGGGTTATTTGATTTAAACTACTTGGCCTGTATCTGGTTAGATATATGTTTGCTCCCATAAGGAAGAAGCTCAGTTGGTGTCCCTGGACATTTCTTGAGTGTCTACTGTGTGCATGTCACTATATTCAGTTGATAAGCCTTCCTATGAGGAAGGATGTTTCTGAGAAACCCGTGCAAACAATAATCCCTAGGAAT